GAGAAGGAATGGAAACTAGGCCGGTGCATCTTACGGTTCCCTGAGATTCTGCAGAAGATTTTAGATGACCTGTTTCTCCACATGCTCTGTGATTATATCTACGAGCTGGCAACTACTTTCACTGAGTTCTACGATAGCTGCTACTGTGTGGAGAAGGATCGGCAAACTGGTGAGCGTCACATCCTGCGGTCATGTGGGGGGGGAGCACCAGGAAGGCCAGGGCGTTTATTTCAGTTGGGTATGGGTGGCATTCAGCGTGCTTGCTTTATGGAAGCTTTCCTAAACTTGCACAGCGATCCATTCACACATAGTAGGCAAAACTGAACTAGCTCTAATAAAAGCGTAAAGACAGACTAGTTTTTCCTTCCTCAGGCACATGGCACGAGGCCACAAGGCTCCAAAGAAAACTGGAAGACCATGTCATTCATTAGGAATAGGATGTTTTCAACAAGAGCAGTGTGACTGACAAGTCTTGGGGGTTTTTGACAATGGAAAACTGCCCTTGGGGAGAAAAATCATATGAATACATATATATAATTTTTTACCTTGGGCTTTCTGCTCTGTCATGTAACAGAGTTAATGAAGTAGACTGAATTAATGTGTCACGGGGCACATTGGTATTTTTGAGGGTCATGCCTGTGAACTGAAACTTTATTAGGAAAAAAATCTCACCATTATCATGGTATTAAGGTTCATTCTTATGTAAGACCATGCGGCCTGGGAAAGAACTCTACATTTTGAAAGGAAAGATGAAGTTTACAGTTGTAATCATTTCAAACCTTGTGTCTTTTGTCCTTATTATCAGATAAAAATAGCTTCTTGAGCAGAAACACCTTTGTTTCTTGGATTGTCTCTGTAGTTTAAGGTAAAGGTGATTCTAGTTAAAGCCTAAAAACATCTATGGGTTGGGCTCTTCTCTTCTCGGTAAAACCCAGAAGTAGCATAGATTCTTTAATAACGATTTTCAAAAAGAAAAATAAATTAATTCTGTGTGCGGTTCTGTCTCCTCAGGAAAAGTGCTGAAGGTGAACATGAGCCGCATGCTGCTGTGTGAGGCGGTGACTGCCGTCATGGCCAAGGGCTTCGATATCCTGGGAATAAAGCCTGTCCAAAGAATGTAATCCTTCCGAGGTTGGAACACTTTTTACCAAAGTGGCCATTAGCACCGTTTGCTTTTTTACAATCATGTGGATATAAAAACAAGTAAAGGAAATTTGTCAGCTATCTATATAACCTGTGGTTCTTTATCTCCAACAACTAGACTTCTGAAAAGGAAAAAAAAATTGCTTTCACGAATACGCTTATTTCTGCTGAGCATTCAATCAAAATGAGTTAGTGGGGGGCGTGGAGTAACACAGGGTCTGTGTACCAGAGTGAGTGTGTTTATTGGCAGGGCCAGGATGTTTTCGTTAATTTTAATTAGATCAGGAATCCCATTTACTGAGCCTTGTAGGCCCCACGAACTTTTTACACCTCCATTGTTTATTCTGGATTCCATTTGTAGGAACTTACCCATTTAACAAGCGACAAAAGTGAAGTTCCACAGAAATAAAGAGGTTGCCCTGGATTGCTCAGTAACAAAATCAAGATTCATATTCACATATATCTAGCTTACAAATTTAAGCTCTTTGCATTTAGCAAAAGATGGCACTGGTGATATAACAGGCCTGGGTTCAGGCAAAGGGGCAAGGAAATTTAGCAGACGGGAAATTCTCCTGAAGGTCCAGATTAACTCACTGTCTCATTGGTCAGATGTTGCAAGGGAAGCTGGAAAAACCTGACTGTCTAAGCAAAGAAGAGCAGGATTGCCGTAACTTGCTTAATCAGCCAAGATTCATTCCCTGAGCTTGGTATCTTATTTCACTCCATAAAACTGGAGTTCCTCTAGCAAGACAGAAGGTAGAGATTTTGGGTGATGGGGTTAGCAGAAGGGAGGCTAATAGTGATGGCTGGGGCGGCAGTAATGTAATCTGCCAATACAGCATTAAAACAAGAATTCCTGTGAAGAAGCTAACACAACACCTTGGGAAATAAGCGCTTAATAAACGTGAATGGTATTGCTCCATGTTCCACGGGTCTCCAAACTCGAAGGAACCTTAGAGTTGATCTTAGTAAGTTATAACAATAGGTACCAGTTACAAACAAACTGGTATGTAATAATATTTAGTTAGGTCATGGAAGTTTTATTGAGGGTAATGAAAGTACATGACATCAGTTGAAACTTTTTAAAATTTGCTTTATTTTGTGTTTGGCATGCTGTGCATTTCCACATTGGCCAACAGTTTCATGACAAGTATAGAAAGTGCTTGCAAAAGACATAATGGATTGAAGGAGAGCCCAGGTAGACTCACTGTATTTTCGTAGGGATTTTAGATCATTGATTTGTAGGAATTTTCAGATAGTTTACAGGACTTGTAGTATGGACAAGCCAGCTCGCCTCTGAACTTCAATTTCTAATTCTATAAAAAGAACTGCTGATGATTTCTAAGGTTTCTTCTAGAAAGAAGCCCTTTCGGAAAGTAGCTAATTACTGAAGACTTGTGTCTCCCCCAAATTCATGTTGAAGCCCTGACTCTCGGTGTCTGTTTTTGGAGTAAGGAAGTAACTAAGGTTAAGTGAGGTCATAGGGTGTGGCATTAATAGCATAAGTCTCCTTAGAAGAAGAGATTCCAGGGAGCTCACTCTCTCCCGGCTAGAGGGGGACACAGTAAGAAGTCAGCCATCTCCAAGCCAGAAAGAGCTCTCGCCAGAAACCAACGCCACTGGCACCCTGACCTCGGACTGCCAGCCTAAGAAATGGAAAATAAATGTTTCCTGGAGAACCCTGGCCCATCTACGCCTCTCAGGCATGTACTCAGTGCCAGTCACTGATTCCACGGGAAAATGGAATGGTTCTGAGCCACCCGGAGATGGGGTACCCCACCAGCAAGGCGGTGGCTAAGCATTATGGGATCTCAAGTGAGGGCGAAATCTCCAAGGCCAAGCGACTGGAACAGGAGAGATGGTTCCCTTTTTCTACTTTCTCTAACCAGCTGTATTCGATATGTGATTGGAAGTAGATTAAGACTCTGGGTTTTAGCCAGATGTTAGTAAAAAGGTGTTATATTTTGTCTCGGTAAGTATATTTATTTATCTTTTATTTTAAAATTTTTAAATTCTCGTGAGGATATTTTTGCTTGTCAGAGAGAGTGGAGTGGGTGTAAGAGAGAAACATCCATGTGAGAGAGACATCGGTTGGTTGCCTCCCGCACGCACCACGACGAATGGGGATTGGGCCTGCACCGAGGTATGTGCCCTTTGCCAGAATTGAACATGGGACTCTCTTGTCCATGGGCCAACACTCTAACCACTAAGCCAAACCGTCTAGGGCTTGGTAAGTACATTTAAATAGATGCATATTAAATGGTACATTTTTAAAAATATGTTTATATGATAGAGAAACCGATTGGCTGCCTCCTGCACGCCCCCCTACTGGGGATCAGGCCCGCAACCCCGGCATGTGCCCTGATGGAATCAAATTGGGGACGCCCTGGTGCATGGGGCAACACTCAACTGCTGAGCCATACCACCCGGGCTAAACGGTAAATTTTGTCTGTGATGTTTGTGTTGGGTACACTGGTCCAGGTGTGCCAGCCTGACATTATGCAGTAGATACCTACGGCAAAAGCATTTACCTTTCACCAATTATCCCGCCCGCTTTTCCCAGCTGCCTCTCAGGGCACGCAACCAGGCGTGCTCAGTGGGTTGTGAGTAGAGTCGACTGTGTCAAACCCTCGGCCAGAACAGAAGAACGTGAGCTCTCCTTGCATTCTCTTCTCCAGCAGTAACAACAGAAGCCGCCTTGTTTCTCGTGTTACAGCCACAAGATGTTAGTTCTGAGCCCTTCAGTGAGTATGTGGAGCAAACCTCCCATGGACCTTCACTGGACATGAAACGTAAGCAAGAAATAAAAGTAGTTGTATTAGTCCATTGAGACTTGGGGGTTATAATATGTTACTGCATCATAGCCCAGCCTTGTTGACCAAACACAGCAGTAGCTGTCCCTGGGCATAAAGATGCAAGTCCCTGGAATCACCTTTGGAAATGAACTGTGGCTTGTAGAAAACAGGTTGGGGAGCCACTTTGTGCACGATTGTTTATGTACTAAGGAGACGGGGTGGGACGTCACAGCCTTACCCCTGGTTTTACCTAAATCCTGTCAGTCACTTGGGCAATTTTCTCGAAGGCTATATGAGAAACAGAGCAAAGATCCTCATGTATTTTTTAAGTCTATGGGTAGGACTAGTGTACTCTGTGTTAATTCTTGAGACCCAGTCACAGATGTGATTGTGAAAATCACTGCAGGGCCTGTCTTACAGAGTAATAAGTCAACTGCAAACAGGTTAAGTGACCATGGTGGTTCTTGTTGGCTGTCTGAAATATTGGAATTGTAATGCCAACTGAGCCTTTGGGTAAACATCTCGAGTCAGTGGTTCCCACTGCTAAAGAATCTTGGGACTGAGACAGATTTCAGTGTAATCAGCAGCTCAAGATGAATATTTTCATGTAAGATATTTTTGACACCTCAGTCCCCTTACGATGCCAATACTTGGCATGAGTCCCTGCCTTGGTAGCATTCTGGGGTCATGCATAGGACAGGTGGGACATGTTCTGCTTTGCTGACCAATGGGTACTCCTAGGTTGTAGCATCCTAACCGACAGGCTATCACAAAATGCTGTGCCATATAGGAATCAAAGCCAGGAGACAGGAAGGTGTCCAGGGGTGTCATCCCAGACACTGCCCTGGGAAAGGACACCTCCAGTCAGAAGCAAGACGTGAAAACTTGGTTTGTATCAGTTCCGAGGCCATCCCCAGCAGTAAGGCAGTAAGAAAAGGCCTGAGAAAGCCACCCCAGGCTAGCATACCTTGAGGGAGGATGGTTCCAGAACCCTTAGCAGGAATCTGGAAATGACAGCAGTAACGGGGAAACTGATGGACAGCTTAGGCCACGGGTGGGGAGATGTCTGAAGAAATTGCAGTGGAGGTAGGAAATCTAGTGAGTAGGGTGGGCCACCAAAACCTGGGGAAATAGGCACCACAGCGAGGCCGTCCACTCCTATGGCTAGTTTATAGTAATTACTCCCGGAGACCAATGCGAGATCTGTGATGCTGCTCATTAGACTGGAGTTTGTAATCACTAGCCACCCCTCCCAGTCAATTCCATTTAGTTGATCACACAGGAATGCATGACATCCTTGAGAGTGTCAGTTCTAAGTCCACTAGAAAGGCCAGTCAGCCCATTTAACAGAGAGGCTGTGAACAGGAGCCTGGGAGATGCTCATACTGTGGTAAAGGAGAGTCAGTGACAGGACAGGTCAGAATGTGTCAGTAGGCGTGCTCTCTGTGGTGAACAGACATATCTAAAATTTTTAGGTCGAAGTTTGGCAGATCTCTTGGTGTTGGATCGCGGCTTCCTCAGTTGCCTGGGGGCAGAGTGGAGAGGGGCCATTGTGCAGGATTAGCAGCTCCTGCCCGAATTTAAAAGCAAAGAAGGAACAAGCTATTCAGATGTAACTGCAGACTTCCACGATACTCTGTGCCACGGTGGAAAACACTAATACTCATTGAAGAAAGTTTTGTACTGCTAAGTTGAATACCTGTGTTCCAGGTGGCGTTAGTACATTTGTAGTCTTTCTTTCCTGGTATAATAAGCTTTATGAGCTGGTACACATTTTCTAAGTTATGGAGTTCTGGCTGTGTATGAGATGCAGTGGTCCAGGGAAGTGGGCACTTTCAATGTCCTACCCAGTCTCCCCTGGGCCCACCTTTGAGTTCACGTCGGGTGCCTGCTTCTCTGCCTGAGCGCGCATCAGGGGATCTGCTGGGCCATGCACAGGAGCAACCCAGAGGTCAGGAAGTGAATGTTCCAGCCCCCAGCCCCCCAGCCTCCCAGCCTGCAGTGGAACAATTCTGAGATGCACTCACAGTTTCTCATAAGGTGCTCAGACAGTTGAACACCAATAACCTAATGTCATAATCTGCTCATTGATGCACCATTTCTTAGTCTTTCTACCTTCCCTGTCTCATTTTTTCCAGCCCCACATGGGCTCCTGGGATCACCTCCCAGAAAACTACCTGGACCCAAATCCTGTGTCAGGGACTATTAGAGTTCTCCAGAGAAACATGAACCAGTCGGATAGATGGATTGGTTTATCTGCCAATGGCTCACACAATCATGGGGTCTGTTAAGTCCAAAATCTGCAGAGCCAGGGTTGTAATTCAAGTCCAAAGGCGGGTGGGCTGCCGTAGGACTAGGAAGAGTCAGTGTGCCAGTTCAGAGCCGTCAGGCAGGAGAACCTTCTCTAACTTGTTTGATCCAGGCCTTCAGCAGCTGGACGAGGCCCACCCACATGGCAGAGGGCAGGCTGCTTTACCCAGTCTACCAGTTTAAATGTTCATTTTAATCCCAGAGCACCCTCACGGAACCACTCGGAATAATGTTTGACCAAATATCTGGGCACCCTGGGACCCAGTTAAGTTGACACAGGAAATTAACCACTACAGGGTCTGATTTTGGGAAAATCGAGCCCACAGCACCAATCATGGCTCATTTTGGGGAACTCTCCTCAATCTGTAATGAGAGCAGGGACCTCTAAGGAGAGTGTTTTCTGTGAACCACCCACGTCCAGAACCATCCATTGCACTCTGATCGCTTGTCCACATTCCAGCGTACAGACTTGGGCACCCAGTAAGGAGGCACTTTGGCCCTCGGGGAAAGCCAGGCCTGGCTTTGCTGCCCATGAATTTGAGAGGAGTCCTGCCCAGGGTGGAATGTGTGCACATTCAGTACCCCCGCCGGACACTTTCCCTGGTCTTCAGGCACGTTTTCTCTCGCTCTGGAGCAGGCGGTTAGCCCCTCTAATAGTAAGGTGCCCGCCAGTTGCTTAACCACCTTCCCCGGCTCTTGCTGGGCCCGAAGCCCGCGCCAGTCAGTAAAACGGGCCCAATTGGGCCCGTCGCTGTCCGTGGTGCTGACCGGACGCAGGCTCCTGCCGCGGCATGTTTGCTGTCCGTGGTGCTTCCCGAGGGCTCTTTAATATACTCAAGAAAGACTGCAGACAAAGCGATTTTTGAAGTATAGACTAGCATTCAAGGGTAAACATGAGGGTTTTGCCCCTGCTGAGGCGTATTACAGGATTTAGGGCTCGGACCTCCTCGTGCTGACGCACCAACAGCTTCTTGCTGCCCCGGGTCCCAGGACAGGCTCTGGGATCCGGCACCGTCGATCGGAGGGCGCCAGGGCACCAGGGCTGCGGGCGCAGCCGGGAGCCCGCGCTCGG